CCCCAAAACCCCAAAACCCCAAAACCCCAAAACCCCAAAACCCCAAAGGGTCTTTCTGAGATTGAAATAATACCATTAGTTAAGATAGTTGAACTAAATTATTTGATGATTCTACTTTTTGTTTGTAAGAGACTATGTTTAAAGACTTTCCTTGAGGAACTGGGCTTCTAACGTTTGACCTGATTCAACTCCAACTAGAATTCCTCAGAATGATAGCATCCACAAGAGTGTGGAACTCAGAAGTACCTACAAACTCATCCAGCTCAAGAGCTGAATTAAACCTTAAGTACTGATTTACCATATTTGAAGTGATAGTAAATGGAGTATTATAGAAGGAGTGAACCTTAAATATTTTCTGACTAGAGTCAACCACGTACACACCTCCGTACATCATCTTGCCTCTGATAGATTTGAGGAGAAGTATAAAGTGGCCTTTTCCTCACTGTTCAACTTTTTCCTCTATCTCACTTCTCTCAACCTCCCAATTAGGACCAGGTAAGAGATACTGCTCAAGAGCTTTGATTATAAATAACTTATTGTGCACTTTCACCATTCCTTTAGAGTTGTACGTCCTATTGGCCAGAGGGGTTCTACTTCTTTCTATCTTTGGAAAGAGAGGACTAGCTTGATACCCAGAAGGACTCTTCTCAGTCGTTGCCAGATTATTGAAGTCAGCAAGCATACTATAGGATGCTTAGTGGAACTCTTACCTTATTCATTTCTTATGTGTGAGAAGCTGTTCTCTTTTGTAAGTAATCTTCCGCATCTTCTTCACAGATGTAGCATGAAGACAATGCTTCAGAGATTTATTCAACGCTGATTTGTTCTTTCATGGTGTGAGATATACTGGTTTCAGGCTATTTCCTTGATTAGAGAGCTTTGACTTAGAAGTCTTCTTCCCAGGGCTCTCAGATATTTGATTAGTTGTCAAGAAGTCGTTCTTGACATTAGATGTTCGAAGAATTTGGCCTGAGAAATTAGAGGTCTTTAATAAGCTATGCACTTTGTTAACAGGATTTCTTGCGAGACTATTAGACCTAAAGGAGGGTCCAAATTTTAAAGAGATATTGCTCTCAATTGCAGTTTCAGTCTCAGGAGCCAGAAAGGTATTCTTCTTTGGGAAATTTATCTTAATGATTTCTTGCTCTCAAGCATCTGAGAGGTTCAAACTGGTAGCTATACTACTCTCTGACTTGGTTTCTACTATGGGTGAGATGTCCTTTTCTTCAATTATTTCATCCTCAACCTCTTTGACTTCTTCAGGAATCTTGTTTACACTAATATTTGGAGGAGGAGTTTTAAAAACATAGTTAGCAAATATAGACTTGGTAGGTGTTTCTATTTCTTTCTTTCGAGGGGACTCTGAGAGTATTTCTCCAAACAAGGTCCTTCTAAACTTTGGTAGAGTTTTCTTCTCTTCCTTCTTCATATGCTCATCAGGTGGCTGCTGATGAACGGATTGTTCTTTACATGATTCGTTATGTGAACTCTCAGGTTGCTTCTCTTTATCCAAATTTTGACTCACTAGTTGGGATAAATGTTCTTGTTTCTTTTCATCTTGATCATATTTAGGATCGATCACTGGGACGTCTTCTTCCTAGCAGGTTAGCCTGTAGTCTTACTTGATTATAATAATCGTATACTTTCTGCTTAGCTTTGGGCAAGAAATGGTCCAAGTCATACTTGCTTTTGTTCTTAAGAGACACTACTCAATGTTTAAATTTATAACTTACATCTCTTTTGGATGATAGACTTTACTTCCTTAAAGCTGCACAGGGACTGGTCATAATTGCTATTAGGTGCTCTGTTTTTGGAATTTGGCTTTGGCTTTAGTTTTAGCTTGATTTGGATAGAATCGAATGTAGCGTTCATGTGTTTTTCAACTGAGTTATGCGTCACAACTCGATTCTGAAAAGATTTGTGAGGATTTGGAAGTAAAGAAGTATAGAAGGTTGGGAAGTAAGGGACTTACGATCTGAGTAGCGGTGTTTTCAGAGTGATTAGACCCATCAAATGTTTTAGATTGCTTTGTTTCTGTCTCATTTTCTAATGAATCCTCTTCTGGCTGGGTCTTTTCAGTCGTAACAGGCTTGATATCACTAAATTCCTAGTTATTTCAATAAAATAATGCAAAGTTTGAATAATTTTTTGTATATAAGTGATCTCTTTGGGTATTTTTAACCATATAGAATATTGCCAATGCTCAGACCCAATCTAAATTTCTGGCAGGTTCTCAACTAAATTACTGAATAATCTTTTAAAATCCATAACAGAATTCATGAAAATTCATTTGGGAATGAATTTAGGTGAAGGAATCACGATGTTATATTTATCCCCATTTCTATCCAAAACAAGTAACCATGAATATTTTGTACTCACCTGCTTTCCCTATCATTAAGGGAATCCTTGCTAGGTTCGGAGACTGACTTATTAGAGTTATCTAAAAGAGATAATGCTATCTTTTTAGACCTATAAAAGGTGAGGAATATCGGCATTACTCATCAGTTCTCTCCTTTATCGGTGACTCATTTGCTTCTTTCTCAGGTAGCTCCTTTATCGCTCTAATTTAATAGTCAGGATGACTTAAATGCTTGGGAAATATTACAGTTAAGATTTTAAACTAGAAGAAAAGTGGGGTTCATTTGGATAGCATCACTTCCAAGTAACAGGCATAGGATGAACCTTGAAGAAGTAGAGGATTCTTAGTGACCAGAAAATTACAAATATTTTGAAGTAAAATAACCTAACAGTAGAGATAAGCTCTAAATGTCAGAAAATTATTAATGCTTAGGAAAAATAGCTATAAGAATAGTCGTTTAGTTAAGAAGTCGTGGCAATGAATTTTAGAATTTTCTTGGGATACATCTCTATGAAAACTCACCTCTTAGCCCCTTTTTGCTCCCACTCAAGAAGTTTTTGTGAGCTTAGTCTGTTAATCTTAAATATTTTGAGGAGTCTTTATCATTTTAATCACAGAGCGACGTTTGATCTGGAGTTTTTCTTTTTTCTCCTTGTCATTTGTTTCCATTTTATTTTTCAATATTCTTCATCTTGGTTGCCACTTGAAATTTTAGCAGGTTTACTATAAAGTTCGGTTACATAATGACTGATAGGAATTTATCAGCCCAAAGAAAATACGGAATGACTAAGAAATTATAGATTAGACATACGGTTATACCTCTGCTTTTCTCTGACAGAAGGACTCAGATCTACGGATACTGGGGCAAAGATGTCTCCATCCTCTTCACTTTCACCCCCAAATCTTTTATTTTTCTTTCCCAAATTACAATAATTCTGGCACAAAATCCTCGGGTCATAGGGATCATCGATCGTCTCTTTCACTTGAATACCTCTAAACTCACATTTCATACCAAAATTCCCCCTTCACAGTCCTCCAACCACTACCTACTTTTGTTCTATACCACAACATCAGCACAAACTCCCCCTTCAGTCCCCTTCCACCTCTATTTCCCCCAAAATCGCCCCTCTTCCTCCAAAGCCGCCCTTACCTTCAACATGACTGATCTGGCTTGCACTAAGACTCCTTGTAACTTTCCCTGTCTGCAGGAAGGACTCCATTTTAAATTATAATAAATGTTAATAATTATTAACTCTCAGTCAACTATTCAATCTTATCCCGTGGCTATGGGGTTTTGGGGTTTTGGGGTTTTGGGGTTTTGGGG